CTTAAACGCACATCTACGGCTACATACACTTCCACCAACTGGTGACCAAACTTTCTGAAACTCATTGTAGCAACATACTCCACATCGCGGCTCGTTTGAGTGGGAGTGTTCTTCGTGGTATAACCCTATGGGGAGAGAACGGTGATCTTACTATCACCTATTCAGACCCATGTCTTACGACGACAAGCAAGCGGCCACAGATGCAGCATCTGAGCGCTGCGACAGCTGCTTCATTGCTTGCGAGCTCGACCCTGGCGTCGGTGGTGCTGCCATGCTACAGCAGTATTCATGTTGCCATCTTCGCTTCTGCTAACAAAGTGTAGCTGTGCCGATTGAACTATCAACGTTGTCGCAGCATCTTTATAATCGTTATCATCATCATCATCATCAGCAGCAGCAGCAGCAGTATGGCATAGACATCAGAACGGACACAGATCTCGCCTTCTCATGGCTGGGTTCATGATTGCAGTTTTGCTGGTCGCGACCTTGATGATGAAGGCAGGTGCAGAAAAAACGGTAATGGTGGCGGTGGTAGGGGTCGTAGTGGTGGTTGTGATAGTCGTGGTGGCGCTGGTCCAGGGCTTAAGCCTCATTTTCACAACCAACTTGCCGACCAGGTTTTTCAACATGCAGCAAAGGCTGGTGAAGGGGCAATACCAAGAACGCATAGTGACTCCAGACTATTTAGAACACGCGCCGACGAGAAATACAAGCCCGTGTCAAGCAACAGAATCAGCCTGGCTCCGCACGAAGTTGTGCAGGCAATCTTTCGAGGAAAAGCTGCCGGCATCATATCCGGATTTGCATAATCAACAAATGCTATCAATCCCGGTGCGATCATGTGTCGATCTTACATCTGCGAGAAGACGGAGTGATCGGCGAAAAGCACCTGAAATCCCAAGTCGACAACTTTTCCTTCCCTGTTGCAGCAGGCTTCTCTTAACCGGAGCAGCCGCCACCGTGAAGCAGTAAACCCTGAACCCGAAGCCCAAAGCCCTAAAGCCTCGCCCTGCCTGACCCCGCTTCTCGTGTTAGGGGAGGCTGCGGATGGCTTCGAGCGGGCGCGGAGAGCAGTTGCTCGAGCAAGTCATCCTGAAGATCCAGCCGGTGCCTGGGTTTTAGGGTTCCTATGAAGGTTACTATACGGCTTCTATAAGGGCTTCTAGTTTAAGATTGATGGTTTAGGGCTTCGTGTTGAAGAGTGTCATGTTGCAGACAAATGCGTCGGGAGAGAAGCGAGCAAATCTTGCGGCTCGGAGATGAACACTTGGCTCTTGGGCTAAGCCCTTCAGGATTGATTCTTCCCTCTGAGTCGGAAATCTGGTTCATTAATTCGGAGGTGCAGAACTGTGTCGTGCTGCCGCTGAAGCATGGCGAGGCACCTCGAGAATCGCAAACAAAGACTCATGGAAGGATGGGGGTAAGGGGGGTAGTCCACAACTCAGCAAAGCATACAAAATATCCTGCATAGACATGTGCAGGTGTGTGCGTATGTATGTATGAGTGTACGCATGTATGTACCTAGGTATGTACCTATGTCTCTTTGTATCTATACATCTATCTAACTATGAACCTATGCATCTATCTAACTATGTATCTATGTTTACGTGTATGCATGCATGCATGTATGTATCTAGGCAGCTAGGTATGTATGTATCTAGGTATGTTTCTGTGTATGTCATGTACGTATGTCTGTATGTAAGTAAGTATGTCCGTATGTGTGTATGTATACCTACATAAGTGTGTATATATATATATATGTATACATGTATAGATCAATATGTGTACTCACCTCTTGGTACACATATATCTCTGCAGGCGTGCGTTCATGCATGCATGCGTACCTGTGTGTCTGTCTGTCCGTCCGTCCGTCTGTCTCTCTCCGTCTGTTTGCCTCTATTGCTTGCATGCAGTATGGATGTATGCTTTCGGTATGTATGATTGTATGCATGTTCGCTTGTTTGTTTGCTTGCTGGCATGCATGCAAGTACGAATACATGCAGGCAGCATGCATGTATGTCTGTTTATGCATGTGTGCACATAGTACAGTAGTGTTTTAATCCTAGACACTTATGCACCCTCAGGCGTAACAGTCCCGCGCGCGTCCACGAGCATGCAGAGCGACAGCGACCATGTTGAGATAACAAAACAGACACACACACACACACACAAGAACACAGAGAGCTGCACAGCTTAACTGGTGAAGAAGCTGCTGCCAACAACACAACCGCCAGCAGACGTCTATGACACATGCTAGTTCGGCTAGTTTTTGCTTTAGCACCAGTGCCGTCATCAACTGTACCGTCGACACACCATGCCACGAACCAGCCGCGGCAGCTGCACTGCCAACATGGGCATGAATATCACCACCATGAACTGCATTGGCATCATTAGCACCACAAACATGATATCTAAGACCTAGTATCATCTTGCTGACCAACGTCAGTGTCGTCACCACATCAATGAAGGCGCCACCATACATTTTACTTTTTCCCCAGCCATCATCATCCAAATGCTGGCATGGGGGTTGAGGGTGCACGGTGCCGGGATAAGGCTTTCGGCTTCATGCGCTGCTGGTGTATGGCCGTCGGATGTCGACAGCCTTGCACACCACCTTGTACCCCTGCCCGCACGAGGATGTCAGACCCGAGGATGTTCGGCTCAAGCTGGCTTGGTGCATGTCTACCAGCCCTGTGGGACATGCTTGAAACCTTACTCTCAATCTCATTTCGTGTGTAAATAAGCAATACGGTTGCGCTTTGAGTTGTCAAGTTCTTCGTCTTTGCCGCACTCGTTGCAGTTCAAACTCCCGACTGAAATCTCGTCACTCTGCGGGTCACGCAGGCACAAGAAACCTCAAAGGCCCGAAGCATCAAGACTTGCAGCTCAGAATCGTCGCCAGATCGGCCGACTGCAAGAGAGGAAACTCATCTGGACCCTGGCAACCGGAACTAAACTACACAGGGTTGTGAAGTTCTGTTTCAGCTGAAGGTTGGAGATGAAGAAAAGAAAACCTTACATGCTGCTCACAGAACGTTGTTCTGCATTGATCTGGTTTGGCTTTGTCGACCGAGCTCGACGCACTGGTCTGAAAAGTTTGGGTGCTCATGCGAGGGCGTCCTCACTAAAGCTTCCAGCCTACATCCAAGCCACAAGCCTCGGGCTCAAAACAAGCAACTCCGTGCAACATGAAGCCCTATCGTCTGGCAACTCCGCAGTCAAGCCGTCAAGCCTCCGGCACGATGTAGGAGCCCTGTTCACGTTGAGGTGCTTGAGTCTTCGGGTACTTAGTAAAGGCAAGTTCAGTTCTTGAGTTGGAGCTGTAGCATCTAACAGCGGAAAACCCTGCCTGTATGGCTACGAACAGTCCTCATCACACTCTGAGCAGGAAAAAAGGTTGCAGCAACAAACCTGTATGCGCGCAACTAGTCTGCACGTGTGTATGTATCTATGTATGTATTTATGCATGCATGTGTGTATATGTATATATGTATATGTTTACTCACATGCCAATATGTGCATAATCCACATATCTGCTTTGAACGCATGCTGCTGCGTCCCCGCTGCTCTGAACTCTGAACCACCCGTACAAAGTAGTTGGCCGGATCACTCGAGACGGGATCCCAAACTACCTGCCTGCTTCCGTCTCGCTGTTGACGGTTCTGGCATCGCTTTGGCAAGCACAGGTAGCCTCGGAGGCCTAACAGCAAGTTAATCAATGCCTCTGTGTCAAGAAGAAAGTGCCACGGGTGAGCTTCAGGGATGTCTGGTGCGCAAATCTCGCAGTCGTTGAAGTCTCAAACTGAGATTGCTGACTGCGCTACACCTCAACCCACATGCAGCCACGACGTGCTTGCGCTTGAGGTAGGAAGGCAGCAAACAAACGTTGGGCGGCTTTTTGCAAGCAATAAGCCCACAGTGCGCACCAGAAGCGCGAACTTCTGCTGGGAGGCATCACCCCTGCTAGCTTGAATTTCTGTCCTTCGACCGTCTTGTCCACCCTAGACCATCGAGTAACATCGTGATGTCGCCTCACTATGCCATGCGACGTCAACCTGAGCCCGAGCCATCAGGTCCATCCCAAATGCAAACAAACGACGGACCAGGGACCCTTTTCTTGAGGTTTTGGCCATGGAGTGATATCCATGCTTTGTTGCGACCATGGCACATGCCTCTCCGATGCCCCTCCTGAACATCGGGCCGCGACATAAATGTCTGAGTGGGCAGTATAAAATGAATGACTTGAGAACCTCGCACTCAGCGCTGAGATTCATGGGCACACTAGTTCGACTGTCGGATACTCCACAGCGCACTGCAGATTGCTGCATGTGCCTGGGGCCTCTGGCCCTTCCCTTTAAAGGCAGTCTGATCCGGTCGGATCCCTCAAACACACTACAGCCGCAATGAGCCATGGCCGAAGTGATGGAAAGCTGACGGACATGGATAACTCACAAATTGCGCTGGTGGCTATAGCCGCACGCAAACCGACATGTCGACGTGCTGGCCCTGCTTTGGAAAAGAACTGTGCTCTAAAAAGGGGCGAGCTTGTGAGACAAGTCGCCAAGGGAAGCAATCCTCCCGCACAAAATCCGCAGTGCAACTAAGCACACCCTTCTTTCGCATGGTGACAGATTACATAAGTCAGAACTCATAGAACGATGATCACAATCTGCAAGTGTGTGTGCGCTATAGTCTTCGGGCACCCTCTCAACGCTGAAATGGTCAATATTGTGTCACCACTAGTGAGGATGTGCAGAGCTGTTGAAAACAATCACGGGATCCTTGGGACGCCGTGAAGAGCTAAATGGTAGGTTTGCAACAAGTTATTCCCCTGCATAGGCTATAGTATAATGGGCCACAAAACCCTAATCTAATCATTAAGGCCCTAACTTATACTACCCTTATAGGTCCTTTATTGTCCCACTTAAAGGAACCCTATTCTAATTGTTAAGGCCCCTATATTATATTACCCTGAGATCGAGGTCCCCTATAGTAACCATTCAGACCTGCGCACATGCCACTCCACGCGACAGGGAGCTGATGAAGTCTGACATGGTTGACATCTCCCCTCGCAGTCGTGTCAATTCCTCTTCCTGGGAGTGGGACGCAATGACATGTTGACATGTGTCTTCAAAGGCAAGCAAAGATTGCCTACCTCTGCGGCAGAGCATGTTCCGTTAACGAGTCGATTTGTGCAGGCATCTGGTTCAACAAACTTCCAGGAGGATCTATACATACCCGTATCGCTTCAGTTCTTCCGAACATCGAGTCCGGCCGAGCATCCATAAACTTCTGGAACTTCCCTTGGTTCCGGATCAGCCATGCCTGATCTTGGCTAATCTTGCCTCAGCTGCCGTGCAAAATCCTAGTTGGCAGAACCCTCTGCTTGCGTTTTGGGCAGTGCTTCTTCTCCCCACGGACTGACAGGATTGAGAGACACCTGACCACACGCGCGTCTACACTAACCAAGCCTCGTTAGACCTGATCGAAGAACCATTAGTGTGTAGCACAGTGTCGGGGTAGCGATTTATATGCCATTACTAAACGATAACCATGCTGCTACGACTGCCACGACAACTATTACTATACTGTTGATGTATCACATAACGTATTGCTAGGCATCTCCTATAAATCTTACAGCAACCAACTATCACGAGCGCGACCACTGTTACCACAGTTAGTAGTAGTCTTCCCGCTTCAAACGATTACCGCAAGTCTTGCTACTCGTATCATTGCGATAAGCTCCACCTGAACTCGCTCCAGCACCAATACCCCTACTGCTTCTATCCATTCCACTCCGCCGGCCGCCAGCCAAGACGCCCAGGTCCAAAGCCGAGGCTGTTCCGCTGAATCTCAAGCAGCCCATGAAGAACTCCTGCCCGGCAAATATCGACGTACCCGGCCACAATCGGTCAATAGTGCCGTCTGCTACATTTCTGCACTTACGTAGGCTCGTCGAACCAGAATCCCATCATTTCAGGATCTGTCGATTTTTATGATGGTGGTCAGTGCGGGCAAGAACAAAACCCGAACAATGTGAATCCGAATGAATCTTCCCTGACTGTCTTGCTTTGCACCCGGCAGCTGTACTACAGCTCTAGTTTTTGTGTAATTAAACTGTGTGAGCCGCCCCACACTTTGCGAGACCTCGAAGTCCACAACGCCACCGAAGTTTGCGTCCAGGAGCTTGAAAAAAGACCACGTATCCCAAATGTCCAAGCCCAATGTCTCCTTGGGGTGGTCGGGGGATTGCCCCGAGTGAGTGCTACAGTATGAGAAGACGAAAACCTTTTGCCGGGACATGTGTCGAAACAACTTTTCCAACAGAAGCAACTGATGCTTATGTTTGTGCAAGGTGTGCATGGGGGACAGTTGATTCGAAAATGAGACAACAAATCCAGCACAAAGCTTTGGAAGACTTCGTGCAAGATCGATAACATGTGTGGGTTCGTAGCTAAACCCCAGCCAAGGATCGAAATACTCCCGGACAGATGGCGAGTTGATCTTTTCCTCGAACATGCGCAAAGTGATGCCACCTGTGCTGTCCGCACCCAGCTTGCCTGAGTGCTCATGAACTCTTCCAGGCTGTTGGGTCAGGCTCTGGTTTATGTCGAAGGACATGACAAGGGCTCACACTCTTGCAAGTCGAAGTGGCTAAAAAGGGTGCGGAGTTTGTCCAGATGCGATTCCTTGTTGTCGATCATGTTCTGCACAACTGTCGCATGATCTTTCTGGGCGCTCTCTATTGCAGATTGGCAGAACACCGCAGTTACCTCAGCATCATGAAAAAATCAAGAAGACACCTACTCCTGAAACCGCTCAAAAGTTTGAGGGGGGCAGCCGCCAGTTGGTGCAGGACACCGCTGTAGGCTTGAAGGGCCACATCAAACGTCTTAGAAACTCACAAGATCGTTCATTGCATGTGGAGTTGCATGGGAAATAAGGCAAGCCCAAAGTGAGCCTAGACCCAAACAACCTCATTACAACACTTCACAAGCGAAGAGGTTGACGAAGGCAACCACTCCATAACTGCTGACGTAAATATAGGTGCCTTACTCATTACTTTACTGTATTTATAGCAAGGGCCCCGTGATCTGCTGCAAGCCCTGGAGATTCGGGTGCTTCGCATGTGCACATAAGCCTGGCCAAGCGCAAAAGCAAACACGTCTTGCTGAATGCAATCCAAGTAGCTACATTAAGCACAGCGAAATATGTGAAGCCTCGGTGGCCAACATATATGTAGACATACACACACACACACACACTTACACACACATATACATATATATGTATATATACATATACATATACATATACATATACATATACATATACATATACATATACATATACATATACATATACATATGCATATGCATATGCATATGCATATCCATATCCATATCCATATCCATATCCATATCCATATCCATATCCATATCCATATCCATATCCATATACATATACATATACATATCCATATCCATATCCATATACATATCCATATCCATATACATATACATTTACATATACATATACATATACATATACATATACATATACATATACATTTACATATACATATACATATACAATATACATATACATATACATATTATACATATACATGTTATACATATACATATACATATACATATACATATACATATACATATACATACACATATACATATACATATGCATATACATATACATATACATATACATATACATATACATACACATATACATATGCATATACATATACATATACATACACATATACATATACATATACATAGACATAGACATAGACATATACATATGCATATACATATGCATATACATATATACATATATATATATATATGTGTATAGATAGCTGTGGTAACCCCCCCCCAAGAACTACCAACTCTCGATTTGTAAGTATCGTAAAATACCGTGTCACACCAGTTTTTCCTGCAGGTCCGGATTCTGTATCTCCCAAAGACTACCGGAACCAAACCCGCGTTTCAATAGAACTTGCCAAACAACTCGTTCAGGTTCGACAAGCACGCACTGGACAGCAACACTCCGCTCTTCCAATCCAAAACCAACTTTCCCTAATAAACAAAAAGGATAATTATCTTCGGAAAACTATACAGCCAATCTCTGGAGACTGATATTTCTTGGTTTCCACAAGGAAAAACTTGGTCTTGGAGTTAAGTATCAACTTGTGTGAGCAGCTTCCTTTCTAGTCGGCTCCTTCCCCTTCGCAGTCCCCCTGTCGAGTTGGGAGGCCACGCAGAGGTAGAAGGACTGAGCGAGGAATCGTTCCCAGCGGCGGTGATGAAGCCATCCCCCGATAAAGCCTCGGGTTTCTTTCGGTGGCGCTTCCGTTTAGCAACTTGCCAATCACCCTCATCTTCACCGAAGTGGACTTGACGAGCAGTCTCGCAAGCTCCCTCCTCCTGCATCGCAACAGTCAGGCCGGGCAAAGCGCTGTTGGCCGATGCAATCGTGGAGGTGAAATCCGCGCTGTGTCCGCCAGCTAGCTGGGCGACAAGCTGGAGCATGGTCTGAAGCAAGTGCATGAGCATGCTGAGCCAGGCCGAGTCAATGGGCCCCGGATGCAAGGCTTCGCCTACCCTCTGCCCAGCAAAGCCTGTTGAGCCGACGCATCTGGCGATGCCTGGTGCGCCTAGCCCCTGCTGGTCCAGGATTTGTGGCCTCGAAACGAATGCCCTGAAGTCTCTGCAATCTCTTTCTGGCCGGGTAGCCACACAATCTCGATGCAAACCTGGAAAAACAGGACGTGACAATACCGTCGATGCTCCGTACCTGTAGCTGGGCAGAATTGCCGTCAAACCCAAAGTCCTCGGAAACTGGCAGCGAGTAGCCGAAGGTAGCAGCAGCCTCCCCTGCGATCCTAACAAGCCCGGTCACTTCCAAAAAATACAGTGCCATGCGACCCGACACAAAATCGAAAATGCCATGCCGGCTGGCCAGAAGGTCAGGCATGATGTGCGGTCTATGTGTACACCCCCAAGCGCACAACAGCGAAACTGCAGCAAGCCTCTGCCAAAACTGAGAAGGATTGCCCTTTCCTTCTCCTCCTCTGTGGCAGCCTCGCCAAATCAAGTCGGTGGGCGGGTACGGAATCATGCTGAAGCAGTGCACAAGCAGGGACAACAAGTGAAGGTCACCGCTCTCACTTTTCGTCACCGGATTTGGCCTTTCCGGTCTCGCGGCCCCCGCGTGGAGGCGGTCAGGTCGGCCGCGATTTCAGGGTTCTCACAGCTGCCACTACGATTTCTTCCAGCTGACTATTTTTTGAAAATTAATAAGAGAAGAAACATTGGGGTCAGATCATGGGTGGTACTAAGGCTACTATAGATGACATGAGGGCTGCTGTTAGGGCGAATACTACGGTCACCATTGACATACGTGTAGGGGGCGAATGACAAGGATAGGGTTAGGGTTATATAGGGTTCGGGTTCGGGTTCGGGTTAGGGCTGATGATGTTTGGAAATCCTCGTCATTATGTCGATATCTCGTACATGTTTAGCCTTAGATTTGGCATGTGCGTGCACACACACACACACACACATATATTAACATACAGGCATGCGGGCAAGTCCGTCAGCAAGTAGGCCATGATCATATACTACAGTGAGAAGGGTGTGATATACAATGTAAGTGTTGATGCAAACAAACAAATGGTTCCATCATCCCGGAAAATCTGAAGACCATCATTTGGGCAACGCCAGAGCGAAGACGGCAAGGACCGTGGTTCTCAATGGAAGTCGTTTTGTGTAGTGTAATTTTCGCATAAATATGACGTCTACTGTTGAGGTAAATGTTGGAGTGGTATTTAGCCTACCTCTATGAATATAGCAGGAACTCGATCCCATGACTTTAAACTTCGGGGTCTAGAATGCGCATGTTGGGGATGCCACAGCTACATCTGGATTAATTGAGCTGTTGGTGAAGCCAACAGTCTGGGCTTCTCTTCAGGCCACTGTTTGGGTGTATGTTGAGGGAAGTATCCGGTCCAGTACCAAGGTTACCAGTGGGAATGGCTAATGATTATGGGTTATCTTCAGTTTGTGAGTAAATATGGTTGTGCGTACATATATATATATATATATAAATGAATGTGTATATATATATATATAAACATATATATATATATATACACATACACGCACACATGATATATGCCTCGGCGGCCCGGTGGTCTTCCACTTTTAGTATCGAAGCCACTTGGGCCACTTAGTTACACACACACACAATATGGTATCGACATCATGCTAAGTACAGCAAGAGAAAGTGTTTGCAAATGCAGCCAAGGGTCAAATGTAAAAGATGTAGCACAAGGTCCATACCGGCGAGATTATCCGTAACGGTGCTATCACTTCCTCCCAACTGACACCACCGGCAATGCTCATGAAGAGGCTGAGCATGCTTACTTGCAAGTCTCCAAAGTACTTCATGCCGGACTGCACCACATCGATGTCGCTGCAAGCCAAGCCGACGTCAGGCGCATCGGGCATGGAAGTCACATAGTCATTCACCCCCTGTGCAAACCTGAGAGACATGAGAAAGCTGAACAGATCTGGACTTCACTCAGTCACTACCAAACAAGAACAACGGAACTTGCGAAACTCCTGGGTCAGCGAGAAGCAAGACTGCGAAGACGTACACGATGAGAACGAGCAGGAGCAACGCCCAAAACAAGGCCTTGAGGGTATGCATAATGGACTGGACCAATGTGCGGAGGGCCATCACGAATCGGAAGATCCGGAGAAACTGCACCATCTTGAGCAGGCGTGTGAGTCGTATAACTCGGAAAGCTTTAATGCTCGATATCCCGCTGATGGTGCTCAGGCCCGTGCCCTGTGGCAGAGCCGCTTCCAAGACGTCCACAAGGACTTCCCACAAGGAAGTTCCCACAATTACAAGGTCCAAGAGTGCCCACGTCCAGTCTTCTGAGACGAAGTAGCGGCATCGACTCACGACAATACGAGTGGCCAACTCAATTGTGAAGAGAACGGTGAACAGGTACCTCTCACTTGTGTACGGAAGAGCGCACGTAGGACGTATTCTCTCGCTCACTAGGCTAACCCGACATAGCTATTGTAAACCTCGAAAGCTTTCAACAGTAGCAGCAAGGCACTGGAGAATCTGATATTCCAAAGGTCTGCCGCCAGAATCTGTCAGACCACGCTGCACGTCGAAGCCGATGTACACCTCACGATGCGTTCGTTGGCAAGACGTGCTAACCGAATGCCAATGCTTGCTACAGCTGCTACTGTATACTATTTGGGGTTCCCTACTAGATTTACAGTATAATGGGCCCCAAAACCCTATTCTAATTATTACAGCTGCTACCATGCTATGGCTACGGCTACGGTTGCTCCGGCTCGTCGGCTTCAACAACCACGGTCCCGGCTAATTGCATGTCCACCGCTCCTGTTAGGGCCACCATCGCTACCACTGAACCGCCTGAAACGACACATGCAAGAGCTACTACCACGACTTCTACCACTGCTGCTACTACTACTTACTACCGCTGCTGCTGCTGCTACTGCCAGTTTACTACTACTACTACTACTACTACTACTACTACTACTACCACTACTACGACTACGCGACTGCCACTGCGACTGCTACTGCTGCTGCTGCCTTACTGCTGCTGCTCCTCCTCCGACTACTACTACTACTACTACTGCTACTACTACTACTACTACTGCTACAAGTAGCCGCAGTAGTTGAATGGTTACCAGTGGCAGAAACATCGCACTTGCAGTAGAAGTATGCAACAACAGCAGTTGCAGTAGCACTAGTGTGTTGATGTTCCTTCTGATGCTGTGGTTGTGCTATTAGCTGCAGCAGTCGTGGTAGTGGTGACGGTGCCGATCCCAAGAGTGGAGAGCACAAGGCATCTAAACGAATCGAAGTGGCCGCGTTGGCAATCACCACTAACCTTGGCTTTGCAAACAGGGCTTGTTTGCTTCGGCGCGAAATGAAAAATGACAGATCATTGCCGAAATTTGCCGCACAAGCTGAATTTAATGCACATGCCCTCCAAGCAGCGCAAAAAACACGTCGAAACCCGGCGAGTTCACCAGCTTGGTCGTGAAATGCCCAGTGACACGCCCCAAGCTCCTCCTCCGAACAAAGACAAGAGGCAATCACTAGGACTAGGACCGATGCATTCTGATGTCTCTTTTAGAAGGTATGGGGACATGGGAACCTGCCTACGATATGGAAACTATGCCTGATTTGCCTGGACACTATAGCTGTTAGGCATGTAGGCAACCTGCCCGTCGATGATTCAACCAGGCTCATAGAATGTGCGCGAAACCATAGGAAGATTCTTTCGCATTAAATTGTTACCCCAGCGCCAAATGATGCCCAATTCCTCGGTGCATTGGTCGCAGGCTCCCTTTCCCGGCGTTGCGAGAAACGCCGCCGCTCGATACTTGCTTCTGCAAGTTCCTGGAAGGTCCAAAAAGTGCAGGGTCTGACAGTCATATAGTGAATTTTACCTGTGCTGACCATGACAGTAATAACAGGCAGGGTCATCATCAGCCCTTATCCACATCCACGTAACAGGAATCACAGTACGCACAATGAACGCTTTGCGATTGATCGAGGAAGAGTAGTAAGCCTGGAGAGTAGCAGTTCCACGAACATCAGGTAACATCAGTGGGGAAACGAACTTACGCCGAAATTGCCAACATCACACACAACAGAACTAGGCTTATTGCCGGAATCCTCTTTTGGAACCAGTCCTGCATAGTTTGCTGCTCTGTGCTAAAGGCTTGCGTTGCTTCTGCGTGCAGAAAAGTTGCAGCACCTTCCTTCAGCTGTTGATCCTGCACAAGCTTACCAAGACTGCCCCAAGCTCCCAGATCTAAGACTTGTTCTTCGGACTCTGAAGAGGCAGAACTGTAGACATCACCGTCAATAGATCTAATTGGCCTTATCATCGGCCTTTTCAACATATACGTATATATATATATATATATATATATGCAAAATGACCTTCCAAACTTATGTGTGCATATATATATATATATATATGTATTGATATTGTTGAGAGTCATGCTGCCAGCTGCGCTGATTACGCTTATTGGGCTTATTGCTGGCAGCGTGTTGGTTGGAGATCAATCAACAAGAGTTATCCCAAAACGCGTGCATCCTGTTCCTTCGCCATTGTTGCCACACGACGCTGCTCCAGCCACAGCCTACTAAAAGTGAACACGGGCCAAGCCAAGATGCAGCCGAAACCTGCGACAGCAATACAGGCTCTTTCTTCTTCTGGTACAGACCGGAATTACAATCCCCAATGCACCGCCGTACACGACGGGTGCTGCCAACAGATGCAGCCTTCAAGACCAAAAACGTCAATTGATCATGCCATATGCCAGATTCTCGGTGATCTTCGTTTCCCCAAAACACCCAACCCTGCTCCCTGAAAAGGGTCGGAACATCCTCGGCTGTGTATGATCTCATGCGGAAGAGCTCCGGTTCCCTCGCATGCAGGAAAAGCTGCACGGCAAAAGGAAGAAAAAGACACGCAAGTAATATGGGGGTCCATAGAAACAGGTTTCGGGGCACGTTTTACCACGTTTCTAGTAGGTGCAATGAGACGACACTGCGCTAATGATTCAGACCCCAATATGACAGGTCCTTCAGAGAGCAAGCAGGTGTGTAAGCCGGCATGCAGTGGCTTCAATGCACTAGGTTGTTGGGCTTAGGCTTCAAAGTTCGGTTCTGCTTCCTCAAGGATCATGATGTTCGGCGCTTGACATGGTTCCACAAGCCAGGCATGTCACTGTGAACACTACGGCTGCAATCCAACGGCCACACTTTCAACACCGAGTCCGGGGCAATGTATGCTAACCTACCAGCTCCTGGATTCAAGAAAAAATTAAACAGTCAGTAAGTCTAGTCCCTCACGGACAGCGCATGTACGTATCTCTTACCTTTGGGTAGTAGGGAATGAAAGCATGGTAGTAATAGTAGTTGTAATTGTACCCCATTCCTCCATTCCCTACTAACCAAAGGTATTTTTGCAAAGCCAGGCACGACTTGCTTGAGAACTGCGTGGCCAGCGCAGAAGGTGATAGGCGCGAGTCGCCTGCAACGTGCTAATTAGCAAGCTGGCAAGCCTGTCATGCACCCTAATATAGGGGCCTTAATAATTAGAAAAGGCTTTGGGGCCGACTATACTATACGTATCAAGTAAAGGGCAGTCAACAGCAAAACACTGCTTGGTCGCGAGCACTGGCAGTAGAGCAGGATACTTGAAGCTCAGCTGGGCAATTTAACCTCACTCCATAAACCCGCAAGAAGATCCCTCGATCATTCTCATTCCGATGCCTGAGGGACGTCTTTCGCGGTCACTCTCCGGTGGCTGAGAGGTGGGAGAAGTATCTGATGGTGAGGTCCTTGGCTCATATCAGCAATCAACAGAGTCTAACTTGATTGGAGTTGAACTTGGTGGCAACCCTGTAATACTCTTCCTGAGTATGAGGCTGTTAGCGTCCGGTATATCCGTTACATCCCATTCAAGACCCACTGCTGCTCAGTGTAACCACGGACCGAAGCCTGATCCTGATTCTGCGCAAGTGCATGCATGAAGTAACAGTAGCTGGACTCCAGCAAGATCATCCATCCAAGAGTCGCTGACCGGAGACGAGACAGGTATTGCGGTGAAGTCGACAATCCCCTGCCGAGCCTTGGAGATTCAGCCAACCTCAGTCTGCGGCAAGGCCCTGAACATCAAACTCCCAACAACCACAAAGCCAAGCTGATCTCTGTTGATCGTAACAGGGGGCGATCTTGTCGACCAAAACCCGGACTGCAGTGACCAAGATCAGACTCCCTCAACTTAAAACTTTTAGCTGGGGGACGGAGCCGGCCTCTCACTAAGGAGTCGATGTTGCTGTTCCAAGCGCTGTATCAGCTGCTCATGCTGCCTCTGCATGGTTTTCAGAAGCCTGGGCTGGAAATTGAACTTGGCGTGCATTGATCTTGACAGGCAGGCCGGGATTTTCACCATGGTTTCTAAATAATTGCACTTTTGTACCGACTTCCCCATGAATGCCTCCACTTAACCAGATCGCGCAAAACCGGAGCCTGACCATCCAGATGTAAACCAGTCCAAACTGCCGGCAACTACCTCGAAACAGAGAGCCTGAAGACGAAGTTGCACCAAGGCAGAGGCGGGATCTACAGTAGATCTTCGTCCGGATTTCACATAACTTCCAGGATAAAGCAGGCGGAAAGAGGCTCCGGCCCGGCTATACTATGCCTTGCTAGAATATACAACACGATGCTTTGTATATGCGATCATATAGTTTAGCCATGGTCTCATTTGGATCGCATGGTCTTGGTAAAGTATGGTATAGAGGGGTATATAACATATGATATAGTAGGCTACAGTACATTAGGAAAAGGGTTCCGAGTGCTCTGCGGCATTAACGTCGCCATGCGAGGAGAAACTCCGGGTTTTGCGCCTTGAAGTGGCGGGATGGAAGCTTAGGGTTTCGGGTTTAGGGCCGTTTACTTGGAGGATCATGGGACTAAGTAAGGTTCTAAGTACCTTAATTGGGGTTGTAAGTAGTTGTAAGTATAGTTACCCTATTTATAACCCAAGTTACTAAGTCCCATGATCCTTTAAGTAGGGTTTAGGGAACCACGAAGCTTGGCAGATGACCCCTTCGCCATGTATAATTTGCAGAGAAAGAGCAAAGCAGTGTCTGAGGACTGCAGGACCTGTCCTTCCTGGAACATCTCTGCCGGGACATCCTGGCCCAAACTGCGGAAGTCTACGATTGCGAAGGGCTTGGTGAGTGGTCCTGGTGATTTGCTTCAAGTCAAAAACCATGCAACTTCGAAAACACAACCGACTCACTTGCATAAAGGATTGCTCGAAGGACAATTAACTCAAACTCACTGACTCCTCAGCTTCCCCTCTAATAATGGACGGCAAGCACTGGAATACGGAGGTTAGAACATCAATTCAACGACAACGTCAGGAATCTCATTCGGCACCAAAGGTAGCTCAGCATCCAAGTCGACATGATCACCCACGAGAATTTATCTGCATCGAGAAAATGCTGCAAACCCCAGTGCTTCCTAGCTGATATGCAATAAACTCCAGCCCCTGCCGACACATGTAAATCACACAACTGTCTAACTCGAGGATTCAGCAGTACAGTGCTGAGTTGACATGATGCTGACCCGTAGTTCCGGAAACCAATCATCACCGGAAAACTACAGGAGTCGACAGCTTACTAACACTAAAGGCCACTCACCTCTGAGCACCCTGAACACGCCCAAAAACCGTAAAGCGAGCCCTAGAAGCCAAAAGCCCGAGCAATAAAAACAATCCTCTCCTCTTTCCAACTTTGAACTTCACCAGTGAATTAGGAGATACAAGTACAGCGGCTCGGAACCCTGTGCAATGGTTAAAAAGCGCATTTACGATTAACGGGTCATTGCTTGTAGCCATGCCCCATGGCCCGCATAGAGTCCCACAGCTTGCGATTTACAATCCGCGGTGCTCACAAACACCAGCTACAAACAAAAATTTCAAGTTGAGCAGCTGCCTCCCCTTCCACCTCAGAATCCCCACCTGGGAATTATCTAACGGCTGCCGCAACGACCCTCATGAGTCTGTCACGGCGGGCTTGCGCCCATCGAAACCATGGAGCTGTTCTTGGGCTGGGAAAGAGCGGGAAACACCCTCAACATCCGCCCACCCTCACAGCCCTTTTGAACTGCTAGCCGGCCCCCTGGCCCCCCTCCGCCCGCACCCGATTGCCATCATTTTGCACAAGGACTTTCGCTGAGAGACTTGCCTTCGAAGATGTCGCCATGGCACAACGGTCGGAGAGAGGTTGAATCTGACAGCGCTCTACCTACCTCCCAAATATATACATACATAAATGTATACATATGTACATATATATATATATATATGTATGTATGTATGTATATACATAATATGCATCATGGACTACCTATTATGGATTTTAGGAATGCATATAATATATTGTGCCCCGGATGAAGCAACAAGGAGGCTGAGCCTACCATAAGTTAACGACAAAGCTTCATCCGCCAATTTAAGATCCTTCAGACTTGCGTGTCGTCCATGAGTGTGCATGCACCCAGAAATCGAGTACAATCTATTCGGAACTGGGCAGACGAACACATTGTGACGGTCTGACAGGCTTCTGGATGTTGGGGTTATTATTATTGAGTTCTTCCAGGATCAGAGCCACCGGCATGCCACGGGCAGGGTAGTGAACATGAATCAGGCAGCAGGAGTACAGCGACTTGGTAAAACTTGAGCGTGAGCACAAAAGGCATTCGACAATATGCTGAACCACTGCACCATCCTTCAGAGTGCCATCTGTGTCCCTCACTCAAGCCTAGATATATGTGTGTGTGTGTGCATATGTATGTATGTCTGTATGTATGTGTATATATATATACACATATTATATACATATTAGTAGATAAATATGTATATATACATATATATATACATATATATAGATGTATATATATATATATGGAGATATGCTTGTGTCTTACCCATGCGTAACGCGACCTGACTTCGCGCAAGCAGCCGTTTGACATTCCGTCCGTTCTCACGGCTCCGCGCCTCATACCTCTGACTACATCCAATAGTCGGCACATCGCACCGAATATGACAGACGTTGAAGTTCGTTCAAAAGGACAGATGCCGGCAAAGACATGGATACGGCGTGAGACCAGGCAAAACACGAGGAAGGCAGGTGCATATCTTGGTCCATTATACCATTCAAAGTAGGTAGCTAGCTGAAGAAGCCTGGCTTAGCCGATGCTACCCAATCATTTCATGAACGTGCTTTCCCTGCTGCTTTTGGGCAACGAAACCACTATGCCACTAGACGTGAGCTCCAATGTAACAGCTTATCTTAGATCAGTTGGTGCCAAGTACTGATGCACGGAAGCAGTTGCGAAAGATCGAGTGCCATGCCTTTTGGATACACCTGACGTTATAGTCTTGTATTGCGCTGCTCCGTGCTTGCGATACACATTCTGCCTTGGTGCGCCGCACAAGTGAGAGTGTGTGTGTGTGTGTGTGATGTGTGTGTGTGTGTGTGTGTGTATGTGTGTGTGTGTGTGTGTGGTGTGTGTGTGTGTGTGTGTGTTTGATTGCGTTTGTGCGTGCGTCAGTGTGCGTGTGTGTCTGTCTGTCTGTTTGTATGTTTGTCTGTCTGTATGTCTGCCTGCCTGCCTGCCTGCCTGGCTGGCTGTCTGTCTTTCTGTCTGTCTGTCTGTCTGTCTGTGTGTGTCTCCCTCTCTGTCTCTCTGTCCCTCTCTATGTGAGCGTGTCCGTACATAAACGGTAGGTACACGCATACAATGCATACATCTCGGTCAGTGAGCACGCCTGCAACTGCGCGAGGGCGCATGCACACACATAAACACGATACAACTCTGCATCTTACACGCCTATGTCCATGCCGGCTTAGTTCAGCAGTTCTGCGTGGATGCCGAGTGACACCTTCGTGTGACAAAGTCGGGCCATTCTGCCTGCTTAGCAGGATCTGTAGCCCCACATCCGTTCAAACACTGCACCATATGTGCGAATTGCACATCCGGCGTTTTACAAGTGAGTCGAGCAGACGTTGCCCGAACCATTGAACACTGCATCCACCAAGCTCGACAAGTTCTCCCTGGTCTGCACGAGTTCAGCTTCCTGGGCACACGAAGCTTCTGCACTGAGATGTCCAAATACAAGTACACTCTCAGGAATCAAGTGGGACTGGGCCTGCGTGAACAGGGGATTGATGCAAAGATGCAGGTGTCAAAGAACATTTCGCAAACCTGTGCTGCCTTTCTGCAAGCATCTTGCCGCACCCAGCCTCGCCGACCACTCCACTATATCAAGGTCCCTCAACCGTGCTTGCAAAATAGCTGGCGCGCCCACCCCTTCTGCGCCCAAACCCGGCATCTCCTGCGAAAGCCCGCTACCAAATCTTCTACCCATCTACCCCTGAAACTCTTATGCTTTACTTTCGATGCCCGGGTTCCACCAACCTCTGGAAACGGCCCTGGCTCCGGATTAGCCACCTCTGAGATTTAGGGCTCGGGATCATGTTGCAACGTTGGGACATGTCACAAGTTTGGGAATTAGTCGGGTCTACGGGGCATACTTGCCCAAACCATAATCACAATAGCAATTCCTACTATAGAATCCCTACTTCCTACTATACAGGGATCGGGCTCATGCTCACCCACCTAGAGAGCACACAGTTATGCGTACATATGTGTATATATATATACACACACACACTAATTTTAATGTTTGCTTAGTTACTGACGCATTTACTGCTTTTGCTTTCGTTTATGTTAGCGATATTGTTATTGGATATTAGTTAATTACAGTAAATCCTGAGCCGCAAGATCTTGAATCTCCGGACACCTCTTTATCCTACACTGACCCAACACCTCTGTAAAGACCTACACGAACCCCACCTACAAACCTCAAATCCCTCCCAAAAAACCTCCAAACCTTCGAATTCGAAAGAAAAGGGGTACAAATCACAAACCCCTAAACTCTGACCTCTTACATCCCAACCCTTCCCTCCCTCGTTAGCGAAAGCCTTTGGTCCGCTGCCAGCTTACCCAACTCCATGGCTGTAGCCTTACGTTTCCAAAGGTTGGTCAAGGCTTCAAAGTGTAGAGGGTTTAGGATGGTTTAGGGGTTTAGGTGTTCTGGTGGTTCAGGGCTTGTCCGGTTTTTTGACGCTCACACTCGGCAATAATATTGTCCGGTTTAGCGTTGAGGAAATAGGGTCTATATAACAACATCTTTTTCTTCTGCTTGGAATCCCAGACGGGGGCACCGTTAATCTTCAAACCGATGACTGCTCCGTGCTGATGGCGGGAAAAGTCAGAGGGCGTGCATCCAATGCACCAAAGCCGCCGACGATGGTCCAAAATGCCACCAAGGGCACTGCGACACTATGAAACGATCTTGTTCTCGAAAGGGTGAGTCCGTGCCCCAATAGAGGTGTTGTATGAAGTCATCTGATACTGACTGCAAGTCCCCCAGAATGGTATCGGTCATAGGGAGTTTGAAGACACAAGCTTATCGAGCAGAAGAAAAGAAACCCGGCAATACAAGTCCCGGAATCCTAAACCCTCAACCCTAAAGTGTACTACACGACAGTAATAATAGTAATAGTAGTAAGTAAAAATAATCATAATTGTACTGGTAAAAATAGTATCTTGCATCTGGCTCTTGGACATGGAGTTTGGAGCCTTTGCAGCTCACATTCACGTCAACAGATGCAAGGTGTCAAACACGCCGGGCCCTACACTTCGAATCGAAGAGTCGGAGAAGCCCTGCCCATATAGTAGGTACTTAGGCCTTCAATGGGTCCCCATATGTATATATATATATATATACATATATATATATATATATATGTATATATATATATATTTATATGGGTACTTTAACAAATGAGTACCTACTATTTGGGTACATTGGAGCCTTTGGGCCTCCAACCGTAAACCCTCAGTAGCGGCAATCGTGTGTTGCCAGGTAGCGTCTCCGCTGAAGCGTAAACATCCCATAAAGAACTCTTCCAGCTCCACAACACCGCCACCATCGGTGTCAAGAAGCCTGCGAGGTTTGGTGTCGGGCTTGGGGTGAGGATCATGCTTAGTGTAAACAGATTCGGGCTTACACTTGTTGCATGGTTCGGGGCTTATTAATGCTTCAGCCAAGACTTGACTACGCACGCCACCCAGCATACAACGCTAATTTCCGATGAGGCGCTTAAAGAACGACCACGGATCCCACACATCCAAACCTAAAGTCTCGAAGTAGTCGCGGACCGCGGGGGAATTGATCTTCTCCTCGAACCTAAGGCTGTGAATCAGAGCCACGGTTTAGGGTTTCGGCGCTCACACTCCGGGCAATTCAGGCGAGGCATATGGTCCATGTGGTTCGGAGTCTGCGGAGTGAGACATATATAGATTGGGAGTGGTCATGGCATGTTCCGGTGCTCTAGTGTGTCAACGCATCAAATAACTGTACTTAGGGTTTAGGGTTTCAGTGTTTAAACATTACAAGGGTTTAGGGTTACGGGTTTAAGGGTTTATGTGATTTGAGGCCTTTGGGGTTTCAGGCTTTAGGGCTTAAGTAGGGTTTAGGCTTTAAGGGAAGGGAAGCAGAAGAGTATGCAGTCCTCATCAGAAGCTCATGGGATGTGGAATTCACCAATCCCAACTAGCAACGCACGAATGAACACCACACATGCAAGCATGGCTGATTCATGAAAGCGGGCTCACCAGAACACGTTCAATCGCACACGCAGGCTTAACATGCGTTCCGGCTGCCCGGCTAAGCACCAAGTGATCAAGTGTTCGTGTTTGCAGCTGCGTAAACATGTAATTACATTCACGTGTGTGCATATGAACAGGAAAGATATACTACAGGGCATCTTCCCCAATGGTCACAGGGCATGTATACGTATGTTGACATCCGTGAACAATATGCACCGTAGGATTTGAGTTGCTCCATTTCCCCTTCGCCCAGCAGCACTCGGTAAGTAATGCCCCCAGCTCCCCGGTCACCAATCTTTTCGAACAAGGCCCTGAGCTTCTGGAGATGCTGTTCCTGTGGCAGGACGAGTGACTACCCATAGGCCCCATAGTAGTTCCTTTTTGGGGTTCAAATTTAGAATCTTATGAGGTAATCCGCAAAAGGAACTACTATGGGGCCTGTGGGTAGGGCTTGGCAGCGAGAAGACTCGCAATAGGAAGGACCATGCAGGACAGGATAATCCATGAGCACAACAAGGGCGCAGGACCTGTCTGCAGAAATGCAGGGTCTCGCATGACACCAACTTCTCAAGGGTCGGCGAAGGAGTAGAACTACAAGTATACCTGGGAACAAAATGCCATCCTGCCTTATTGTCCAGCATGTTCTGGACCACGGTTGTGTGATCCTTCTGGGCCGACTCAATGGCCGCGTGGCAGAAAACCTGGGTCTGTGATACGATTTACTACCGAACTAAAACCGTTCGGGTGCCGACAGCCCCCAAATGGACAGCACGCCACTGTGAACCCCTCATAGAAACATTGTGAACCCCTCATAGAACAAGAAGGGGGGACCATCCAACATGAGAGAAGAAGTGAAGCCGAAAGAGGAAAGCCTGTGGCAGCACTTGACAAATCATGTACTCAACCACTCCAGTAACAAGCAAGCTAAGACTCCCAACTTTCTCACACCAGATACGGAAGAACCTGGGTGAGCAAAGAAGGGGCCTCATGCACTCAACGACGCCAGAATGTGCACACAACCAACAAGCACGACCGGGACAGCCATGCTAGCAGCCCCATCTACCTCACCACAGGAACATTCGAACCTATGCGAGATAAGGCAGGACTCTATCCGACTCAACCTCGAGGTCCCAACCACAATTTAGGATAAGAAAAACTGATGAAGGCACCACCCCCCACTCCATCAAACTGCAATCTTCACAGATTGGGCCTACATAAGGCCGTCAGTCCAGAGAGTGAGACTAAAGATCGCAGGCACCGTGCTGAGGATGTTCTTCATCACGATTTTTTGAACGCTGTAACGCAGACATAGCCCCGTACTTGGAGGATCCTAAACTACCCCTCATAGAACCCCTGTATAGATCCCTTCCAGAAGCCCTTTAAAGGAACCTACTTACTAAAAGGGCAGCCAGGGGGCCGCCGTCACCACGTTCAACACGGCCAGATAGGAAAAAGCGATGAAAAACAGGAAGCACACCTGGGGGGGGGGGTTTCCGAAAACTAGGGGACTTTGTATACTGGTAGCCTAACTAGTAGGATCCTTATTCTGGGGACCCGAAAGAAGGTACCCCGAAATTGCAGAAACTCCCACCTCCCAGAAGGCAGAGACAAACATCAGAGGCCTGATAACCTCTTCCCAGCTGACACCGCCGGCAATGCTCATGAACAGGGCCATCATGCTTCGCACGAGGCTGCGAAAATACCGATCCGCTGCCGCTTGAACATCTGGTGGTAACTCTGGATTTGCCTCGTCGCTGATGTAGTCATAGACTGCTTGCGAGAAAAGTATAGCAAACACGTAGACAATCAAGGTTAGGAGGAGAAGGGCCCAAAACAAAGCTTTGACGGTGTGCAAGATCGACTGGACCAGCATTCGCAAGGCCATGATGAAGCGAAAGATTCGTATGAAGTGAGCAGTTTTCAATACACGGGTCAGGCGCACAATGCGCATGGCTTTCAATGTAGAGAGACCTGAGATGCTGTCCCAACTATCGTCTTTGAGCATGGCCGAGATGATATCCACAACAATATCCCAGATGGATGTTGCCACAATCAGTGTATCAAGCAGGGCCCATTTCCACTCCTCTGAACAGTAGTAGCGGCAGCGGCTGTCGGCTAGTCGTAGAAGAAGCTCAGCCAAAAACAGTGCAGAAAACGTATAATGGCAAATCATGTATATCACGGGCTTCGTCCTCACCACGTCTACGGCGTACTCTCGGCCATCCAAGGCCCACTGGATGTCAAAGCCGATGAAGATGGCGTTGGCCATGACGATGATCGCAAAAAAGATATCAAAGGCAGGATTGTGGACTAGGCGAGTAGACCATGGGATGCTGTCCGAATGCAGTAACCTGCCAGAGGTCATTTTAGGCTAGACTGGTAAAGACACCCTCGAGCCCCAACCCCCAACGAATGGCTCTTGTGCTGCCCGCGCCTAGTGTGACTTCCAGGACCTTTCTTTTCTGGCGCCTGCATGTCGGAGAATCTCTTGCGAATCGCGATGGATTCCGCGTTGTCCTGCAGGCTCTGCACGCTTGAGACACTCGAACCACAAGCCCTGAAGGCCGTAATCGTAGCCCCTAAACCCGACAAGAGAGAGTCGCTAAGGCTTTATCGTTCAAGAGTCTGTGCGTGACGAGAGAATTAGTTCTGCATGCTTCGCTGGGTTCAGGGCAAAACTTACAGAGGGCCAGGATGCTTACAGCCTGCTGCATAAGCCGCCCTTGAAAAACCGAACGGGTCTGGAAGGCTTGGTTTGATGAATGCCACAGCAAGGTACCAATGCCTATACTAATTGCCTTTGTGGTAGGGATCTGACACTCGGACGGCAAGGTCAACAAGGTAGGTAAACAGGTCATGGACTCCGCGACACGCGATGCCAGCATGGTGGTTTATAGATCGGTACCAAAGGTGCCACATGCACAAATACTTCATATTGCTGCCAGACTGCCGCATCGTCGCGCAACTGCGTGTCCTGGCGATCTTCATGCCACGAACACTTTTCTCAAACTCGAAGTAACACGTCTGGTAAGGTTGCCAAACACATCCGCCACATCACATCTCTGCCAGTTGAAGTGAAATACTGAGTACTTTTCGTAGCTTCGGATTGCGACTATTAAGGATTTGCAAGTCGCTGCAACTTGTTTGACCTGTGTGTATCAAAGCCTCCCTCCAGTCACGGCATGCTCCTGCTACCAAAGACGTTGACTGGTACTTTCAAGCAGCAAGCGACGGGTAAGGACGATATAGCTCTGCAAGGGGGCATGGGTTCAAAGACTCTAAACTGATCAGACGACGGCAACTACATCGAACGCGTCTTCGTATGGAACTCACATATAGACCACTGTCGAGGCAACCCACTCAGGGTTGTAGCGACTGGGCACCCGCAGCTTCACTGTCATCTCGGATGGCAAGTTGATAAGTCGGATATATGGATCTTTCACTTCGGCACTCGCCCTACTATAGGGGCCTAAATAATTACTAATACTATTTGGGGAGTTCCTTACTATGATTTTAGTAATGGTTATAGTATAATGGGCCCCAAAACCCTATTCTAATTATGAAGGCCCCTATATTAAAGAGCTACACACAAAATGCCGGAAGCATCGAATCCCCCTGAAGCAGCCTAACATAGCACTCTAAATAGTAAAATTCTTATTATAGCGACGCCAAAACCAGGTACCCCTGATTTTCGGAAACTCTCAGCTGGCTCCTCTGCGGAATACGATCGCAAGTGGTAAGATGTTGATAGACCCCTGGGCAAATTCCGTCGTCAAGTGCGGGGCTGCAGAAAAAAGGAGGCGGGCTTGTTCAAACCAGGGTCACTCTGCAAGGAAGCTTCCTTGAACTAAAACCTTCTAATACTGGTCGCACCATCACTGGCAATCATGTCCCTGTGCGGCTGCATGAGGAAACCTTGACTTGGTATTCCATGGTGACAGCATGCGCAAGTAACCACGCCACAACTTAAACAACAAAAACAAAAAACAAACTTCAAAACACAACCCGAGATGAGATCGGAGCGTTCGGGACAGGTTTGGGGAAACATCATTCGCAATGCAAACCTACATTAAACCATGCTATCCTCGCACTACAATGAAACCGATGTCCAAAATCCAACGGCGCACAAAGACGTAGGATTACGACGAACTCCTCAGTGTGGAGCCTTTTTCCTAAGCTTGACAGGCACAGGACCGCAAAAGCCAGAAGTTCTGAAAGCAATTTGCCCTGCTCTGGTTTGGGTGTCATGTCCGCATAAGTCCTCCGGGTGCAACGTCCCAACCAGAATTGCAAACACCGGAAGCCCTAAACTCAAAACCTCTAGAAACCTGCGTCTGGCCCCTTTGTTGACCACAATTCACAACCTCCCAAGGCCCTGGGCTCCAAGACATCTAAAGTTCAAAAGCTGCTACAGCCCTGACCCGTAATTTACAACTGGTTCAGCTCCAATCCGGGCATGGAGCAGGCTTGGCACTTCGCTTCTCGCGTTTGTCGCTGACAAAATGCCAGGTGCGGCACTCCCTGCTTTGGTCTGTGGGTTCGCAGATGGGGCTTCCGGGGCTCAAACTTAACAAGATAAAACACATACAACATCCCCAGCAGAACTACGGTGCTCCGGAGGTTACGGGAAGCTTTCTGTCACGGCCACAAGCTTGCCGGCATGCACTCTGTCCTCGCGCCCCGTATGCGATTTCACTCGAGGCCACAGTCTAGAGAAGCCCACTTGGAGGGGCAGGGGACTTAGCAAGCCGTTTATAAGTAGGGTTATAATTGGGGTAACTCCCTTATAGCCTACTTACTAAGTCCCCTGCCCCTCCAGGCAACACTGAAATCTGAGGGATTTGGGGCTTAAAGTTGCGCACCGAGGTTTCCGCCTGTCCACCATGAAGGGCAAGGGCAACCGCCGCCACTTTGTCGGAGGGTCATCAGACGAAGCAACCAAGAGACACAGTGCATGCCGAAACTTCTGAAAACATCCCGCGCCTATGTGGTGCTGCTCTGGCTGCACCGAAGCCAGGAGACTTCCGGATTCTGATGTCCTTATCTTCCCATGGAAAGGACTTTCGCACGGCTTTCTATCACCAAAAATAACAAGCTTGCTCAGATCGACTTGCCGTTTCCGAGAAAACCTGCCGGTCTGCTTCCTTGCTACCAACCTCTACAACGGCCCTGCTGTGCACACAGGTCAGGTTTGAACTGTGTCACTTGCCTTGCTTTCAATCTCCTCATCTGGGAAAGAAGAACATGTTGCTGCCACTTTCACTGTGTAGACGCGGACTCTCAAAGCGACCCGGATGCGACTCTACATCGAGCTAGCATGTCCATTGACACACGTGTACATATATATGTATATATATATATATGTATGTAATTATATCTACGACTACGTGCATACATGTCACATGTCTGTGCGCCTATGCAGATTTTCAGAAGACAGTATGCAACATGCCAAAGCCATGTACAATGCAAAGTGAAAGACATCGAGTACAAAACCACGCACAACCCATATACTGACAGCCTCTAAGCTTCAACCTCCCAAACAGATAAGTACAACATGTAATCTAAGTTAGATACTCTCTGCGGATGTTGAGCAGGTATATATACAGATAAGTAGATAAAATAACACATTGGTAGATAGTTTGACGAGACAGACAGACAGCCAGTCAGACAGATGATTACACTGGAAGCAGATTGTTCTTCCGACGGTTGTGATTATCAAGTTCTTGTCGTTCCAAAGCCAGAGACACTCCACCTACGTGCGTCAAAATGCACAAACCTGACCGAGGTGACCAGTTTGAGTGGCCTGGGCGTAAGGATGAATCTCGCTTGCTCCAACTTACCCTGGATCCAACCCGAAGATCAAGACAACATGTGTCTGCTGCACGCTTGGGAAGGATCTGACACGGACTGTCTCAGACAGATTGCTCAGGGCTTGCGGCTCCAAGCTGCTTCGTGCAAATTAGTGAAGTTAGAACCGTACCGGAGCCAAGTCTCACGAAGATTTGTGGAGACGTTGCCGATGTTAGGTCTTGCCTTGGCATGCATCTACACCAGATATGCGCGGGTGTTGGCACCTCTATGTATGGCAACCCGAAACCTCTGAAGCGGCACATTAAGCTGCCCAAGCCCTGCGCTTTAACGGCATTTCTCTCGGAGCCGTTAATTAGCCGCTGGCCAAGTCACGCCTCCTGCCTCAAAAACTTCTCATGTTGATCCAGACGGTCCATCAGCTGCTCATGGTGGCTCTGCATGGTCTTCAGCAACCTCATGCAGATGATGTGATCATGTTCTTTTCAGCCGGCGTCACTGCTCTGCATGGTCTTCAGCAACCTCATGCAGATGATGTGATCATGTTCTTTTCAGCCGGCGTCACTGGACTCGACGGTTGCCAAAACAATGCGGCCTAACAATGAACTTTGCCAAAGCGGCAGCTCCGTGTCTGGTTGGAAAAAGACCGGCACTGCATCCTCACAAACGTCAGACGATTCATCCTGCCGGACAACAGGTACTGTATCGCGTGCAGATGCAAACGTAACAATACTTCTGGGGCAAACCCACGTCGTGCTCAACAACCCCTCCAGTACCTGCTACCTGGAGGGCCTGAGCCTGACTGGACCGAGCCTTCGCGGCCATTGCACCACAAGGCGGCTGCGATGTGATTGTACCCGCATGTGCTATGGATGTGTTGCCTCCGACACAAAACACCTGCAGATCATGTAGCGCACATGAAGGCTTTCCTCCGCGCCGTGACCTTTCAACAGGGTCACCGATCCTGTTGCACGATTAGCCATCATTACTTGAATTGAAACCGAAGATAATGGTGACCTTCGCGACGACCAATGATTCGGATGATGGTGACGACATATGGTGCTGAAGATGATGGCTGTGATGAAGCGGTGCTTGGCGATCACAGCGACATCGGCTTGGACCATGGGACCACAAAAGTGCCTGTGCTGGTGGCACCAGCCAGTGTTCGCATCAAGTATGGGAAGAAAAAGCTCACAAGCTGCTGCTGCTGCTACCGTTATTGTGAACACGTAGCGGCGTTGCTATTTCCACGACCACTTCGTCTACAGCGCCCGACAACACTACTTGCCTACTTGCTATCTGCTACTACTCGATTCCAGGGCTACCGTTACTAGTTACTTCTGCTGCTGCTGCGAGCACGACGACGACAACTTAGATTACTCACATACTACGACGGGACGAGGAAGAGGAGGAGGGGCGGAGGAGGACGAGGAGGAGGAACATGCTACTAGCCGCCACCTGCAGGAGAGCGAACTGTTGCACGGCTCGGGAAGCACGCCTCCGGAAGTCGAGCTTGGGCCACCATGATCTGCTTCCACGAGCCGGACCGGAATCGAAAAAAACATGCTCTTGACGCACCTTGCGTTCAAGTTATGAAGTGGTATGCTATCCTACCGTGTGCGGGATGGCAAAGTGAAAGCCCCCCCCACTCGTTGCGCAAAGAGCGCAGGCACATCGACGAAAGCAGACTCGCCACCTAGAGCAAGGCTGAACCCATCGAGGCCCGAATATGTTCAGACACTTATTGGAGGCTCCACTCCGATTTTTTAGAATGAACATATCTCTATGGCGGTCCTGATGCTTATGCTGGTACGAATCGTCGCATGGAGATGCATTGGCGGCTTGGTTTCGCACATAGGGTGCTGCTACACCACTGGGAATGTATGAATTCATGTTCGCGGCGACATTCGCGATGAAGCTGACGCTGCCTCTTTATGGTGCAAAGTTGATTATGTTTTGATGAATATAATGATGTTATCGAAGCACAGATGCCAACAATGCAGATGACGATGACTACGACGATGTTGGTGGCGATGGTGAGGATGAGGAGGATGATGAGGCGGATAGTGGCGTTGGCTAAGATGCTGACAGCACAAGAGGCGATGCTGCTGAGAAGACCACGCCTTTTTCCGGCTTCCTAGCACCACAATCGACTGCGCAGATTTATGTGCATGAGCCGGACCACTCGTCTGCTTTGCAGGTACCACACGAGCAGATCGCGGCCATAATTTGTATATGACAGAACTCACTCATGAAAGATGGCGACGAGTCCGAACCATACACCGGTTGATCGCCATCACGGCACATGCTGCGCTTATCTCGATTATGCCGTGGCTCGTCTGAAAATCAGTGAGACTGGACCCTGGAAAGTGGATCCTTAAAGCTCGTTTGAGCAAACGCCGCCTGTGGCAGCACAAACTGCGTTGGCCAAAGAGGCGATGTTCTCCCTGGTCCAGCACAGCTCGTTCTCCTGAGCTCCGACTGCCGCCACCGCAAAAAACAACGAGTGCAACTGCAACTACTCTGCAGTGGTAGAGTTGCAGAGCTGATCCGGTATTGAGGTTTCGGCGGAAAGGAGGAAACACAAGATCCAGTTTTGGCAGAACGGCACTAAGACTAATTGTCTGATCTTTCGCCAAGACAAAGACAAACAGCCACTTTGGCGTTACTTCCTCGGGTCATGCCCGTGGATACACACCTTCACCAAGTGATTTTCAAAAACAAACGGCACCGTGACAATCGCAAGAACAGCGTCAGCTTGCTCAACATCCTTGATGTGTCATTACTGCCACATCAGCAGCAGCATGACGATGATCATCATCGCTACGATTATGTGCATGGTGCCTATTCGCCAGAAGATAACTTTTGCTCCTGGTAAGGCTGCTAAGCGCCTCCTGACTGTTTCGCGACTGAAGCCAGTGTGAAGCTAGCCGTCTACTCGTGGTAGTGGAAGTGCTCTCAAGCGGTGCGGATACATGGGAATTCGCAGAAGCGTCACTTCTAGTTTTGCCCACCCACACACACCTGTGGGACAATGCAGTGACCTTCAAGCATACTCGATCAGATGCTAAATTGCACTCGACTCCAGATTTGTGTCGAGTTGACGGTCTGGCCTAATTGGGGTCGTGGCAACATCAACGCACAGAACTGTCTCAAGTGCTCTGCTGGCACCAAACATTGATCAATGAACTCAAAGAACCCTGAAAGCTTGAAAGCAAGAACGACACCCGCAGTCCACAGTCACCTGCAATGTTGCGACATGATGTTGTTTCTGAAACGCTGCTCCGCTGACCTACTTGCCGTGTACCATGCCCTTTAGCAAAACATAATCTAGTCTAATGGAAAGTAAATGCTAGGACAGGCCACGACCAGCTTTTGAAAGCGACCCTGGCTTCTGATAAGCCACCTGGCACGCAAAGCAAATCTCAGTCATGGCGCGTAGCTTCAGACTAGGGGAGCTGTCTGCATGCCTCAAACAGCTTTGAATCGCTTCTCAATCCGCGCCAGCTTGGGCACTCGCCGTACACATCTATATGTGAAACACACAGATGCCACAAAATCTGGTCTACATCCCCGAAAACGGCACCTCTGGTCAGCAGCTAGCTGGCCGACTTCCATGGCAGTAGCCTGGGGATCTCTCATGGACCCCAGCAGAACTGCACACTGATGACTGGAAACTGTGCTTAAAAACGCTTCCAATGACTTCTTACGCGTTTGGCCACGATTTGCGACGAAAGCACCTGATCAGACGGCTATGTTTGTCTGATATACGTAGCTGGCTCGAACACATTCCCGCTGAAATTTCAATTCCCGCACTCAAACCCAGCACCAATCCGAATATTTCTGAGCCATAAGCCAAGTCGCGTTGCCGCCGAAGCGTAAGCACCCCAAAAAGAACTCTTCCAACTCTACCACGCCACCCGCATCGGCGTCCAGAAGCCTTGTTTGGTCAGCCAAAGGGGCAAAGCTTACCAACGCGATACGCAGCATGACAAGCAGCAAGAACAAGTAAAACGAACGTGACTAAGCCTATGCCCACAACAACCTGTAGAGGCGAACCCGGCGGTAACAGCACTTATCAACTTTAAGTCAGGTTTGCAGCATGTCGAAATTTCTGCAGCAATCTAATTGTTAGATTAAGAACAGATAAAGCAACTGGCACACTCTCTATGTTTCACGGGTTGCTAGAACATGCGAAAGCAAAAGCAGCCCTACTTCGACCACTGCGGTCTCGTCGTCTGCTACTGCTACTGCTACTGCTACTGCTACTGCTACTACTACGACGACGACTACTACTACGACTACCACCACTACTACTACTACTACTACTACTACTACTACTACTACTACTACTACTACTACCACGACTACCACTACTACTACTACTACTACTACTACTACTACTACGACTACTACTACGACGACGACTACTACTACTACCACTACCACTACCACTACGACTACGACTACGACTACGACTACGACTACGACTACGACTACAACTACGACTACGACTACGACTACTACTACTACTACTACTACTACTACTACTACTACTACTACTACTACTACTACTACTACTACTACTAACTACTACTGCTGCTGCCGGTGAAGCGGTCTCCGCTGGTGGTGCTGCTGCTGTTACAACCACCAGCACTACCACTACGACTACTAGCACCACCGCGAGTACGACTACGCCTACCGCTGCAACTGCCGCTGCCATTACCACCACCACTACCACCACTACCACCACCACTACCACCACAAACCACCACCACCACAAACCACCACCACCACCACCACCACCACCACCACCAACAACAACAACAACAACACCACCAACACTACCACCACCACCACCACCACCACCACCACCACCACCACCACCACCACCACCACCACCACCACAACGGCGACTACTGCTGCTGCCTACACAATCAGAAGGTTTCACTTGCTAGAAGTTTGGGATAGCTGTCAGACTCATCTACTTTCATCGCTGTACTGTCGAATCCCGAAGATGGGCCTCCAATGCTGCATCTTCCCGACTGCCCTAACAATGCTTCCTATCAGGCCTGGGGTGTCTTCATGAACACCGAACCTGCAAATGTGGTATTTGGGATTGGGTTTAGGGTTTACGGTTTAGGATGTCGCTCACAGAGTTGGGCTCTGTAGGCTCGATGAAGCTTAGTTGCTGAAGCATGCCCGGCCTGGGCTCTTGAAGCTTCAGGTGGCAAGGTTCCCCCTAAACCCTAAACCCTTTTTTTTGAGCAGGGACTGCAATGCAACCCTAAACCCTAAACTCTAAAACCCTAAACCCTAAAACCCTAACCCCTAAACCCTAAAACCCTAAACCCTAAACCACAAAATGAAGTCAACATCGAAGCTTGGACACTTGTGTTTTAGGCGAAGGCGGAATTTCCCCCACCACAGCGAGAGTGCCAGTCCAAACGCGAACTTATCGTCAAGGCTACGAAAGGACGAACCGAACAACATGCATGGAGTTTAGGCCTGAGCCCCAAACCCTGATATAGGGGCCATAATAAGTAGAACAGGGTTTCGGGCCCATAATTATACTATATTTAAAATAATGGACCCCCAAAAACTAGTATTTCGGCCCCTACATGAAACGGCTCAGCCGAAGGGCTTGAAGAACGCCCATGGGTCCCACACGTCTAACCCGAGCGTCTCGAAATACTCGCGGACTGCTGGGGAGTCTATTTTCTCTTGGAACCTCAAGTCAAGAACAACTGCCAGGAGCGTGGGTGAGTTCTGCGAATTACATAGTGGTAGGCGTATAGCTTTGAGGATCCTTCTAATTATTTGGG